GGTCGGCAGTTCAAGCTCACCAGCAGCTCCTCAGAAACCCTATATAGGGTCGCTATGGGTTGGAACCAACTCAATGACATTTAAGAACAACAACTCACCTAATAGGATAACCACTAGACTGCTAACAAGATCGGTGGTTCAAACCCACCAGCTGCTCTTTGGAAACCTATTCTGTTGTTGAGTCAGTTCTAACTCATACCAACCCTGTATAGAATTTCCAAGAGGTAGCTAGTGCGTTTGAACCACCAATCTTGCAGTTTAAACCGAACTTATAGTCCAGTGATTATACTACAGCACCACACCAGTACTCCTGGAAACCTTATAAAGGATCCCTATGAATCAGAAATAGCTCAACATCAAGTAACAACTCACTCAAAGAGATCGTGATTTGCTCTCCCATTCAGAAGACAGGTGAGAAGGGCTCCCTAAACAGTGTTAGCTGCAATATTTTAACCATTACCTAGTGTCTCATTCATGTTTATTGTTTTTAAGCGTCATTGAGTTGGTTCCAACTCATAGTGACCCAGTATAGGGTTTCCGAGACTTTGTATCCTCTCACCTCATCTTTCTCCCTAGGAGCTGATGGTGGAATCAAATCAAGACTTTTTGGTTCACAGTCTCATGTTTATCTTATGGAGCCACCGTGTTGTTCCCAGTCTTTCATTCATAAATGTATGTAGACAATTAAGGATTACCATGCATGACAAAAATGAGCAGCAATAAAAAGATTGCACCCCCCCCAAAAAGGAACAAGTGACCAGGGTGGGAAAAGACAATGTAAGTAAAAGAAACACGAGAAATTTTTACAAAGAAAACGCTATTATCTTTCAGACAGATTAATGATAACACATCATTAAAATAGAAATGACTTAATAAATAGGAAATATCTGTGAAAAAGATGTCTTGAGAGTTGAAAGTATGATTTCTGCTTTAAAAAAATATCACTATTATACAGTGAAAGAGCTAAGGTTACTGCTCAGAACAACAAAAAGTATTATGAGAGAAAACAAGAGACAAAAAGTCAAGATTCCAACTTACAAGAGAACAGAGAAAATGGAGCAGAGAAAACTTTTTTTTAATTAAATGAAACTTCCCAGAGCTAAATAAAGAACAAGTCTTCAACTGACTTGACATGACAGAATAGCCACACTTCAGACCTATCACCATGTAATTTAAATCAGAAAAAGAACATTTCCAAAAGCTTCCAGGGAGGGAAGACAGAGCAACTGCCAACAACAACAAAATTAACTGGCATCATGCAACACACATTACCAACACTGAATGCTAGAAGACAAAGGAGTACTTTCTAAATTCTAAGGAAAAAGTGTATGCTAAACTGGTATTCTAGACCTAATCCTGGTGTGGTGCTGTAGGCTAATGCGCCAGACTGCAAAGTTGTTTGAACTGCAAGGTTGGTGGTTCAAGCTCACCATCTGCTCCTTGGAAACCCTATACAAGGTCGCTACAGGTCAGAATCAACTTAATGGCACTAACAACAACAACAACATACCTAATCCAAAAATAAATCAAGCATGAGACAGAGCAATCAGAAAATAATAACACACTGGGATTCACTAAGATTACCTCCTGCCAGCGTTTCTAAATAAGTTACTTAAGAATGTTCAACAAAATGAGAGAAGAAACCAAGTAAAAGAAAAACATGTGATCCAGAAGAAACTACGGGTATAATTTATTTAGTAAGCTTGAAGAGCAAAATGAGCCAGAAAAGAAAGCCAGGTGACCCACGTAAAAGACATTATAAAAGAAAGGCTGGAAATTTTTGAGGATATGCAGAAGATAAATTATTCTTTGGTTAACAAGAAAAATTAAAGAGCTACTTAGAAACAAAATTAAAGTTATACAAGAAAAGTCAAGCCCCAAATATGAAGCTAACTATGGGACCCGTCAGGAGTCATGGTGTACCACTGTGGGTTAATGCTGTCAATTGCAAAGTAGGTTTGAACTTCAAGGTCAACAGCTCAAACTCACCAGCTGCTCCTAGGAAACCCTCATCAAGATCACTATGGGACAGAATCAATTAAAAAAAAATAGGGGGAATACATCTAACTCTAACAATAACAATGTATGTAATCCAACATATTGACTAAAAGCACACCCCATTCATACAGACCTAACTAAAACATAGTCCCAGCATATCACTTGACACCTCACGGAATATTATTCTCAATTATCATCCCTCAGAAAAGCCCCATTATGCCTCACCCTACTTTATTTTTATTCCTCTAGCATATGCTATCACCAAATATTATAGCACATATATTATATTTCACTGAATCTCAGACACACATTCTCCTCATTTTTTAACCCTGCTAAAAAACCAGCATGTGGTTTTACACTCCAAAGCATGTTACAACTGCTGTCAGCCAGATGGCAGTCTTGTTACTGTGTGGAAAACCTTCAGTGGATACTTTCTCAAAAGATTGTTAATACCTGCATAAAATGCTTCAGATACATGAAATATGGTATTATTTGTTTTCTGGGTATCTCCTTCACTGTATTATTAGCTACATGAAGGTAGTAATTTATTTAATCTCTGTATCCGCCACACCCAGGCAGTAGGCTATTGTCAGAATTCTTACAAATCTATGTGATTTTTTCCATGTGCATATACTTTCTAGACTTTTGGTGTGACACTGTAGGCTCAGCAATGGAATGCAAACCACTAGGTCGGCAGTTCAAACCCACTAGCAGCTCCTCAGAAACCCTACTGAGTTCTGTGAGTTGGAATACACGATGGCACTTAACAGTACTTTTTATGAACTTTGAAACATTTAACAAAGGAGAAATAGACATATATACACACTCTCAAATCACATACTGTGTCACATTTAACATCCCTGACATAAGGATAGGCCCAAAGATAGGGTCCAACATAATTGGCTCTACAGTTTTTTCCTGCTTAGTGGTACACATAATGGGGAGTCACACAAATACTAGCATCAAAGATTTGAAGAAATTCAGTATAAAAACTGTGGACTATGATGTAGACAGTAGTGTTAATGAATTAACTCTTCATTTCAAAAGATGATTTCATAACTTTTCAAATCCAAGAGACAGATGTGCAGCTTATTACAAAAAAAGGAAATTTAATTTTATAGCATGAGTGTCTCCTGAAAAGGGTAGTAAGCTATTGTCAGAATTCTTGTAAATCTGTTGATTTTTACCATCTGTACATACTTTTTATGAACTTTAAAAAGCAATTAACAAGAGAAAAATAGATACACACACACTCCACACAGAAGAGTCAGCGGCTGGGACACTGCTAGAGACATAAAGGCACCCACCAGCAAACACAAAGTCATGAGCCTCCAGAAATTTCAACTAGGAGTGGAGATGTTAGTTGTCCTCAAGTGAATTCCAACTTCTAGAGACCCCCAAGTGTGCAAAGTAGGACAAACCATATGCTTTGGATGCAGATCACCAAACCTTACTTCCAAGGCATGGGTGAGTTAGAACCAGTAACCTTTTAATAGTGCTATGAGCTGGAATCCACTAGGGGACAGTGGGTTTGTTTTTGTGATTTTTTTGGTGAATCATCTGCATCACCTAGAGAAGCTAGATGTGGTTCTGGTGTGGCTCTGCAGGATAAGCACTGGACTACTAGTAAAATCGGCGGTTCAAACCCATTAGTCACTCCTGGAAACCCTATAGAGGGTGCTATGAGTGGTGACAGGCCCAATGGCACTTAACAAGAAGAGAGTCTACAGCAGTCAGTCCTGGGGATGTTGTTAAATGCCATCGACTTGATTCAGACAAAGCAACCTTGTATGGGGACCCTGAATTCTGAAACCGAATTCAGCATGGCATCAACAACTCGTGCCTGTTGACAAATAAGCCATTTTGCTTATAAGGTCAAAGCAGGGTCAGTAAGTTTATCCTTTTGCTCTGGACTGAAAGCTCAGTTCCAAGTTCCCCCTGACACCCAGCATTTGTCCAACACCCTCTCACCTTCCCTGGCTTTCTGTCAACACAATGACAAACCACGGTCTTTCCTTTAAAGGAAATATGGGGGGGGAGCACTTTTAAAAGATCGTGAAAAAAATCCCTTTTTTTTTTTTTTAATTTCCATTTTTCCACGAAATTTTTAAAGCCCCTTCGTTAGATTGTGTTGTCGAGCTGGTTTCAACTCAGTGGCCCTGTATAGCGTTCCCAAGGTGTAAAACTTTGCGGGAGCTGACAGCTTCGTTTTTCTCGAGGGGAGCGGCAGGTGGGTTCAAATCACCACTATGCTCCACCCTGGTAATATGGGGGAGGGGGAGGGTAATAAAAAATGAAGAAAAGGAAAAGACTGCAGCCGAGGTGAGGGCAACTCGAGGAACAGCAGTCATGACAAGCACAAATTCAGTCCCAGAAGACCCGTGAGAAGCACCGCAGGGTCCAGGTCTATCCTCGCAGAAAGGAAGACCATCTTTCCGAAAAGAAAACCAAGAAGCTTGAAAACCCAACTTGGCCTTGGCAAGGAGAAGGAAGGCGCACAGTTCAGATCCCACCCCTCTCTCCACGCCCAAAGCTAGCGTAGAAGGAACACAAAATGTCACAGGGCCAGGACAGAGCGCGCCAAAGCAAGACCCACCCCCGGGAAATCAGGCCGCTCCAGGCGGGTCCCTCCCCTTCCTCCCTCCGCCCGCGCAAAGCTCATTCATTCTGGAGGCAGGCGGCCAGACCTCCCCGGGCGCCAGGCCCCGCACCACAAACCCACCCGCCGCTTTGTCTCTGAGCCGGCCGGAAATCGCGCAGCGCACACGAGCGCGCGCACGGGCGCCCCCACCCCGCACCTGGGCCCGACCGGTGCTCTGCACGTCGCGGCTGGCGCGCCATGTCAGATACCCCCGCTTAAGTGTCACTACTGTCCGAGCCTCCTTGGACACCGCCGCTACCCATCAATTTTTTTCTCCTTGATGGAGACTGACCCCTTGCCCCATCCGAAAGGCGCGAGTCCCTGGCCCTCCCCGCTTGGCTGCCACCCGGCAAACACTCACTTCAGGAGCAGCTGGTCGTGCTCGGCCTTGCACTTGCCCAGCTCGATCTGCAGCTTGGCGCGCTCGCGGGCCGTGTCGTCGAGCGCGCGTCGCGCGTCAGCCAGCTCGGTCTCGTAGAGCGCCTTGAGGCCGGTGAGCTCGCGGCCGCGCACCTCCTCCCGCTCGGTCACCTGCAGCTGGAGCACGCTGTTCTCCGTCTCCAGACTGCGCACCTTGTCGATATACACAGCCAGGCGATCATTGAGCTCGCGCAGCTCCTCCTTTTCCTGCAGCCGCGACAGCCGCGTGGGGCTCAGCGGCGTGGAGGGGGCACTGGCGCGGCTGCCGGCCCGCGGCGGCACGGGGGTCGCTGTCGCCATGGTGGGCGGCGGGGGCTGGCGGGGAGAGCCGACCTGAAAGGCCGCAGGCAGCACAGGAATCAAGCGGGGGCACGGCGAGCGTTGCAGGGAGTGAAGCAGGGAAGGCGGGAATGGATGGTTCGCACTAACGTGCGGCTCCGGCGTGGGGAGGGAGAAACAGCTGGGGAGGCGAGAGCGGGGGTTGTAGCACAAAGGGTAGAGCGGGGTAAAAGACTATGAATCAATCAACCGACCGTAAAATGCCCTTTGTGAGAAAACACGCACACAGACACATACAAACACAAGCACAGGGAGACGTGAAGCAAGGGTGACCGAGAGGGCCAAGCAGAGTCCTCGCGCCGCCGCCGCCGCCGATTCTCCCGCCCGCAGCACTTTGTTTCCTCTCAGGCTGCGGCGGGCGGGGGGGTAGGAAGGCCGCGAGGGGCGGGCTGGAGGCGCTCCGCGAGGGGCGGAGGTGGCGTGGGCCGCGGTACCGCACTCCTCAACATGGCCGGCGCGCGCCGACATTCCCACGTGACCGCCATTGACCAATGAGGAGTCGGCAATGCGCTCCTGCGTCTAGAGGGCTGGGCCTCTAAATTCAAAATCTGGCCCTCCGGCAACCGTCGGCTAGGCGCGCTGGGCTGGGCGTGGCCCGGGCCAAACTGAGGGCAGCGGGGAAGGGCGACTGGGAACTCCAGCTTTCAGTCCTCCACCCAGCCCCAACAGCACCCCCGCGGGGACTCCTAGGGGGACCGGGTTGGCAGGTGGCGGGAAAGGCCCGGAGGTTTCCGGGGCGGGTCTGCGCCGCCGCCCACACTCGGTTGTTCAGGGAAATTCAAATGTTAACGTCCCAAAAGCCACACGCGAAACTCTGTAAGAGGCCTGGACTGTCTTAGAGTTGTTTTGTAACCTCCCGCCCCGAGGAGAAAGCTCAGAAAAACGTTTTGAGGCCTGGCCAATGTGGATTTACATAATGGGTGTTTGAGTCCAAAGTTCAAAAGGTTCCAAGTGTAAACCTTTTTCATTTGGATGGAAAGAGGTGTACCAAAATATCTTGAAACAGAAAAATAAGTACATCAGAGAAACTAGAAACACTGATTTTAAATCATGAGTTACCAATGCCGATTCCTGGATCTGTCAGTTTCAGTTTAGAGGGGTTGTAAAAATCAACAAGGACACTTCACAGATGCTATATTAACCTACGACTGTAGGTGCACAAACTGTTAATTGTTATATTTCATTAAAATTCGGTACATAAAAACCTGAACTTGTAAAAACCTAATTGAAATGACTTTATTTCAAAAAGAAATCTTCCAGCTTGTAATTGACTACTAGTTCTGTTGAATGAAATTTTAATTTTTTTTAAAGCTAACGTTTATTGGCCACTTAATCGCTGTCCGGTACGAGCTCAGTGATTTTCGTGTATTAGTCTTTATTGCAGCGCCGTGGTGAGGGAACTTGAGTTCCATTATACAGATGGAAGATTACAATTTTTTTTTTTTTTTTTTTTAGTCGCCCAACAGGCAACAGGATTGCATTTGAACACAGGCTCTTTGACTCCAGAGACAGGCGCTCCTTAACCATAACCTAGATAGACAACTCACAACCTATGTGGAATGCATTTTTAATTACAGGTCAATTACTGTAATTATGTCAGAAATAGAGACCAGGGCTTCTTTAAATATTAATCAAGATGAGCACATAAGAATTAGTGAAAGCCACTGTGCTGCATAATCAGTCTCCAGAATATCTGGCACTCTGTGAATGATCCTACTCCTCTCATTGTTGTTAAGCGACCCTGTTTCCAAGGAGTGACTGGTAAAGTTGAAATACCAACCTTATAAATTGACCCTGAGGTCCTACGCTTATCCTACCACGCCACACCAAGACTCCACTCTTCTCCTTAGTGGTTCTATTTCCTATTCTTTTAACTAAGGTACCTCCTTGTTTGACCTCCTTGAGAATTAGAGTTGACAAGCTTGCGTTTTTAATTTGCTATCTTGGAGTTTCAAACCAAACCTACTGCCATCAAATCGATTCCGATTCACTGCGAACCTATATAGGGTCTCCAAAACTTAATCTTTGCAGAGCAGACAGCTTCATCTTTGGAGTTTGTTATTGTTAGGTGCCATCAAGTTGGTGCCTACTCATAGCGACCTTATGCTCAGCAAAACAAAACACTGTCTAATTCTGGGCCAACCTCACTGTTGTTGCCATGCTTAAACCCATTGATGCTACCACTTTGCCAATCCATCTCGCTGGGGGACTCACAGCGAACATATATGTTGTTGTTGTTAAGTACCGTGGAGTCGGTTCAGACTCATAGTGACCCTGCAAAGGGTTTCTGAAGCTGTAAATCTTTACATGATCATAAAGCCTCCATCTTTCTCCAGCGGAACAGCTAGTAGTTTCGAACAGCCAACCTTGAGGTTAACAGTCCAGTTTGTAACCATTACGCTATACGTTGTTGTTGGTAAGTACCGTGGAGTCGGTTCCTACTCATAGTAAAATAATATGTGTAAATTGTGAAGGCTAGATAGTTAATCTTACTATGAGTAATTTCATGCTTCCTATCAAAAGAAATGGAAATCTCTTAGTCTTAAAATTAGACATTATACAAATTTTTGATCAGATATTTTACTGAATGCACTTCTCTTATTTTATGGGCCTTTCCCATGCCTAAC